GGGGGGGGGGGGGGGGGGGCTGGAGCATTAGCATGTACATTTTAAAATGAAAATGAAATTTAAGAAAACATACTGAAAGTAATGTCTGCTATTAATCTATGTAGGCATGTTGGGGGGGGGGGCATATTTTGAAAGTTTGCGAAAGGGGTCCTTTATATTCAGTTCATAGAAATGTGTGACTACAACCCAAGCGAACTTCTCACTTATTTACTTCTTTAAGCTATTATCACAGATACTAAACATAGACAATATATATGATTTTCAGATTGTAATTGTTCAAAATCTCTTCTGTTCACATAGAGAAACCCCTCAAAGTGAATGATGATCTGGTTAAATGTGAAATACTAGAATGCTTAACATGCATATGGTTCACATTTCCTGTCTCGACAACACACACACACAGACACACACACACACGCACACAGATAAACACAAAAATATGCCATAGTACATAATTCAGAGACCAATAGTGGTCTAAAATCAACATCTTAAATAGTTTAATGACACGAGTGCTCATACCGCACAAAGGTTCAAGTCTCCACAGAGAACAAAAAGAAAAAACTGATAGTCTAAGAAGGCCTCAGATGAGAAGCACTTGTCAATGTGTGGACAGTTTGTGCGCGAGTGTGTGTCCAGATGAGTCCAGCTGTTTGGCCAGATGTTAACACTGATGAACTGTGAAGGAACATCTGAGACACCCAAAGTCTCCCTTCCATATGTGTACATATTCTCACAACAGGCAGTATCATATACACACTCAGGCGAGCACATCTGCTTCAAAACCTTTTAGTACAGATATCTGAGAGCACTTGACTACTTAGGAAGCCCAGACGTCCAAAGCCCTGGAAAAGTTCCATATAATATTCCAACAAAGTTCTCATGAAGTGATAACTTCTTCCGTTACAAGGAAGGAACACTGGTTTACGCATCCTATTGGGTAAGAATACAAAACAGTTGTAGTTAAGACAGTAATACATTCTTTCTGCAATGCAACAGTGGAGGCCATTTTTACAATCAAGCAGCACAGACTTTTTTTTTTTTTATATTCTACGAAAGTAATTATGGGTTGTTTTAACCAACATCAACAAACACGTGACGATGTATTCGGACAAAGGACACACTTGTTGCCTGGTAACAAGGCTTTCAAAGAACATCATGGGTGCCATTTTCTATGAGAATAACTCCCTTTGGAATTGACTTCATGCTTTGCAACTTAGATTTTCATGCACGAATGAGCTAAATAACACAAAGTACATGGCAAAGCCTTTTTTAAAATGATAATTGCAGCTCGTCCAACTGTTACTAAATGGTGTGATGATATGAGGAGTAACTTCTCAAAATTTGTCCTCAGCTCAATTTGTTCTTTGTGTGGCTCCTGTCTGGGTGCATCAAGATTTGCAGATTGACATGTGCTGCTAAACCCCTGAAAGAACACAGTGTGTGAAAAACAGGGTCAAGGCTGCAGCCTTTCGTTCAAACATCCATACATTTTAAATAAAACTAACCCCCAGCACACCACCACACGGTTTGAAGTGTTTAAATGGGCTACTGTACGCTATGAAGACCCACACATACTGCATTAGTGACTTGTGAATGGGAGTAGCGAAGAAGAAAGATTTGTTATCCCAGATACGCAATCTAAACTCAAAAAAGTCCTTTTTATGACCATATAACATTTTCGTGGCCAATATGCTGCAATATTCATATTTTGAAAGAAACTCCAGGTTTGAATGTGTGCTGGAGATAATCTTTCAAAGTGAAATTTTACCTTGACTGGCTTAAAATCTTGAGTTTAGTGTCAGTTCTATTGACTGAGTTAGTCCTCCCAGTTGGTATGAAGAATTTCAAAGCTTTGAATACAAGAACATTTTATTTTCATGGTGTCTTGCAGACACTAGATTTAGTACAAGGAAAAAAGTCATTAATAAACCTAAAAGCAGACATTTCAAAGTCTAAGAGAAATCTTACAAACAGGCAAACTTTCTGAGGACACTAAATTCACTGAAGACTTTATATTGTCTTTCATCGTGGCATTATCATGGCACACGGAAACAAAAATACCTCACTTTTACAAAGGCTGGGGAAACAATACCGAGGACCTATACTCTTTCAACTTTCGTAGGTTCACAATGTCTTTACTGGCTGTCATGGCAACATCTATCAAACCTGAAAATAATTCTTTCCAAAAGTCTGATCACATTCAGGTGGCGATAATGCTTTTCTATTCCAGCTTTTCATGCTTAACATTAAGCCGTGATAACACAGCAAATGAGGAGAATTGGCTATAGATGGAGGTTCACATTTGAGATTCCCTGATGGATACGATTGTCTGCCTACACACACAGACACACGTACGCACACATTTAGGTTCATCACCTTCCATTCTCCCCTCTCTGCTCTGATAACCATGGTAACCTGCCTGTCTGTGTGTCTGTCTGACTGGCTGGCCCCTCTACCCTCCATCTATGCTCTATTAACCATATGCATCTGAGGGTTCGCTGCTATACATGATTTAAATTTTACTACCTTCAGTTGTAAACTTTGTCCTCATCACCAACCTGATGGGTGAGATCAATAATTTACAGAAAAACATTTTCAAACAGGTAAAAGGTTTCAAGACAATTATTTTACTTCTACCATATAACAGTTGGATCATACAAAACAGTCCTTTTTGAACTATCATGTCTTCATATTTTATAACCAATGGTCCTAATTCTATAGATTTGTTGTAATTATTTTCCCATTGTCCAAATTTTGATTAGCAACTACTCAGGAAAAAAAACAAGCAGCCAAACAGCATCAGTAAAAATACTTATGCAACTTAACCTTTTTTGTATTTAAATTTGAAACTGAATCTGTAATCTTCATTTATGACACTTCCCTACTCTTAGAAGCTACAAAAAAAGTGAAAGTTTCCATTATTACTTTAATCCACATCTACTTAAAGTCTGTTTTAGCTTAATCTGACCCAACAGTTTTGTATTATACGGTACATGCACCAATGCTGAATTACATAAAAAGCATATTGAATCATACAACTCATCCATATTGTAATAAAGACAATACATCAGCAATAAGTGTGTGTGGAGTGCATTTAATCTATTGAGAAACCAACTCCAAGACCAGATTTCCACAGGCTCAGAGTGACAGCAGATTCTTTTCATCCCATAAAGTTTTCTTATTATATTATGAATAAAACTTTATTTGCTCTTTCCGTCATGGTAGAAGATGACTCTTCTCTCCTCGCCTTGTGTGTGTGTGCTTCTGAGTGTTTGTGATGGATGTGTTATTGTTGAGTTTTGAGGCTAGATGCATGCTTGATGGAATAAAAAGAAGGTTGAAGAAGACAAGATCATCTCTCTCTGTATCCTCTGTAACTTTCCATCTCTCCCTCCATCTTCAGTAGTTGCGCTGTCTGTGAGAGAAATGTGCAAGAAAAAAAACAAACAGGAAGATTGATCGAGATCAAGAGATGGATGGAGGGATTCCCAGAGAAAGATAAAGCGCTGTTTAAAAGGGTCAGGGCCAGAAAAAGACTGAGGGATGACGCTGCCATAATCCTGTGAACTCACACAAACACACATTCAATATGTTTCTATATATATTTACATAATGGAGCGTGTACATGCATTAACTTTAAGCTGTTAAATAGAACATAACTGTTTTTTTTATATAGATTAAATAGATTAAATTTCAATCACTCGCATACACAAATTACTAAAGTTGATATATGCTTCCAATGGAAAAAGTTTAACAATGAACTGGCCCTGGATGCAGCATCAGCTTTATAAAACTCTTTCTGTCTAAACTGAGCTTTGTTCAGATGTACTCTGAGCATTTAAAAAGT